TTTTTGTCACAGATTAAAACTTTGCGGAGCTGAGCAAATACGAACGTTTACCGAGAGCTTCTTTATTTATTCATGAGTAAAGCACTCGTAACATAGTGTAACATTGCATAAGTAAGACACTAAACTAGTGGTGCATGGCATCGTGCCTTAAGGCTAATTGTTTGAACTTTCCGTGAAAACTTAAATTTAAAGCAAAGATTATTTATAATTTAGAAGTTTTTTTTGAATTTTTTTCACATTTTGAAATTTTTTGGAAACATAACTTGTCAAAGCAATCGCGCTACGTAGCTGTTTTAAAGACAAAATATCGAAGCGCGTAATCGCCGCGTCGCAGTATAACGGATAAACATTGGTACGGAATCATAAATGAAAAAGTACTTATTAAAATCTCTATAAAATATCTGATATTTGATGAGCATATGCAGGGCCGCATATAGAAATTTGGCGCCCTGGGGGCTCTGACAAAAATGGAGCCCCATTCCTGAAATTTTACTTAAATAGTTTTTATATCTTATTTTTCTAAAATTAAAATAACTAACATACTATAACTGGTGCATGGCATTGTGCTTTTAGGCAAATTGCTGGAACTTTTGTTACCGAAAATTACATTTTGTAAAAACTATAAAATTGTTTGAAAACTGAAAAAATAGATTTTTAGAATTTCGAAATTTTTGAAAAATTAGACTTGAAAATATATTTTTTTTTATATTTTAATTTTTTTTTTGAAAATTTTGAACTTTTTGAAAGCAATATGTCTAATAGTCTAATGATAATTTTTGACCGGCAAATGGCTTTTTTTATTTGATCAAATCGGACGCTCCGTTATCTGAAAAACTGAACTGCTATTTGTGGTACTTTTTATCCCGTATCTTCGAAATGCTAAAAGCTAATCAGCACATCTTCCCATTAAAACAAATCGAATGTTTTCTGGAATATTCAAATCGGTTGGGCCGTGTTCCCAAAATCGTTACACACACATATACATCATTTTGTTCTAAAATATAAAAAGTTTTGAAACGTAAAGAAATGCAAAAATTTTTATTTTCGATTTTCTTGCGATTCTACTTATTCTACGCGAATTTAATAATTTATCAAAATATTCGTATTTGTTATACCAATAAGAATTATAAATTTTGCCGTAAGGACTTACAAGCATTTCGACAAACTTTTTAACTTCCCGTAGGATAAGACCTGAAGAATATATTTTTTAAAACTTTCAGCTCGTTTACGAATCTTTCTCTTAGCCAAATTGCCGTATTATATTTTGTTAATTATATTTCTTGAAATAAAATATGATAATAAGAAAAATTAGTTGATAATATTATATCGAATTTTTTTCTCACTTTCCCAATTTTGCTCTTACTTTAAATCCAGCTCTAGACATGGGCATCTAACGATTTTTTTGACCGTCTAATGGTATTTTTTTTTACTTTTCTTATTCGATTTACAAAACAGTTTTTTGCTTCATCAATATAAACAAGAAGGTTTTTTGAATCATTCAAATCGTACGCTTTGCTCTTTGAAATACGAATTGAATGTTTTTTAGATTATTCAAATCGTTTATCCGTGTTTCCGAAATCGTCGACCAGAATTTGTATCCGCACACATACAATACATACATCTATATTTTAAAGTATGTCAAAATGTTCAGAAACCTCTAAAACGTGAATATATATAAAAATTCTCATTTTCGATGTTTTTGCGATTGCTATAACTTACGCTTTGGAAAAGCACGATGCCATGCACCGCTAGTTTATTTATTATTTAGCAATATCTTTTTTAATAATATCCTGATGTAGTATTTATTACAAACTATAAAACTCTGTTAAGACAACATTTAATTATTCTCTATGTGTCAATTATTACTGTATACCTAATATTTAATAGTAGAACATTTAATAAATTGTTAGCTATAAACTACATTACCTACGTTACAAGGCTCATTCGAATAATATAGTGGCTTATAAGATAAGATTAACCGTATTATATTTCGAGATCAGCAAACGACGCGCCCCTCTCCCTTGGCCCCCAGCGATCATCCCCCCATTCGGGGCATTCGTACATCTCGCTCGGTCGCTCGTCTTCGCTTCTTTCTATCATTCTTTATTGCGGGAGATCCAAATCGGCCGCCCGTGCCGCTTTTCGGATGATGTTAACGCGTTATAAACATCCCTCACACTTGTTAATAGAAACAGAGCTAATAGTCTGTACAATCTTTTGAAAATGCTTAAAGTAAGGAGTTCGAATAAAATTTAGTTGTTGATTTTTCTAATGCATAAATGGAAAATTATAATGTTCTTTTCAGTGAATTTTAAAATAAATGGTACAGTCCCGACATACGAGTTTAATGCATTCCGTAACCACGCTCGTATCTCGAAACATTTCTTTCCACATAAATATATTGAAATGCCATTAATTTGTACTAGCATTATGGTTTTTGTTAAGTTTCATGAAAATTAAAAATGAATTTACTATTTATTAATTAACTTTCCGTAAGGTAAACTCTCCTGAAAAAAAAATAGAAATAACTTATAAACTTATATTTATAAGGAACTAGCAAACCCGGCGAACTTCGTTTCGCCATCAGATAGTTTCGTGAGAAAGATGAAGAAATTTTTTGTTTGTTTTATATTTGAAAAGGAAATGAGTAGCTGTCAAACAATGTATCTACCGGCACCATCTACTTAAAATATTGGTTTATAGTACATGCTAAGTATCAGAGATGACGCTGTATGAGAAAAGAATTTTTCCGCTTTTCTGTTAAAATTTTCTTCAATTTTTCTGCTATAACCTCACGGAGTCCGAGACCTTTCCAACAAATGCAAAATCGTCGAAATCGGTCGTGCGTTATGGAGTTATATCGTCGGAAGGAAACCCGACTTATTTTTATATAATAGATTATTTTATAAGTAAATAGTTAGGATTATATAATTATCATAAAATATTATTAATATTATAACGAATGAGAAAACAACTATAGAGTTGTTTTTCCAACATGCCCCTTTAGTATACAATACGAGGTGTGTTCAAAAAGTACCCGGATTACTAATAATTAAATTTCGTCTGGAGTGTCTGATTGTCAAATTTTTTTTTTATTGTGTTGGTATACATGCCCCTAAAGTATGATGAAATTTTCAGCTATATTCACTGTTTACTTTGTCTGTGGTAGTCGCTAAGGTTCGACGTGTTTT